GTAGATAATTTGTTTTTTTAATTAAAATAAATAATTTAGTTATTATAACTAATTTTATTGTTTAAAGTTACATTAGAGATAATCTATTGGTATCAAAATCAATAAATCATTTAAAAAAATATTTTAACATATTAAGACAATAATTAAATGAAAATATTGTTAAATTTATGAAAAATATATTCGTAAAAAATACATTAAAAATTTTAAAAATAAAATAATTTACATTAATAAGGATAAAATTGGTAGAAAATGTATATTAAAAAAATTACCCGTTGTTACGTAAAACAAACCATTTTATATAGTTATACTATAGGAAACACATGCGATAAATAATGAAAATAATAAATTTAATATTATTATTATTATTATTATTATTATTATTATTATAATTATGAAGTTAAATATAGGTAATTTTTATAAATTTGTTATAAATAATTTTTATTTATTTTATAGACAGTTTCATAAGAAATAAAAAAGGTTAAATTCAAAAAAGTAGTAAAATTGATAAAATAATTATTTTAATTTTAAAAATATTTATCTAAGAAATAAATTTAAAAAATAAATATGAAAAAGGAAATCCAAGTTATAAATAAAATAATTAGGAAAACATATGCGTCTATGTGTCTTGACATTCTATTTTTATGTTAATAAAAAATAATATAATTATTATTATTATTATAATAATAACAAAGTTAAATATAACTAGTTTTTATAATTTAATTTTAAATTGTTTTTAAATTTTTCTCGGGTAAAGTTTTAAAACTTAAATAAATTGTCACATAAGAAGTAAAATTAGTTATATAATTATTTTAATTTTAATTTCTTTATTTAAATGGTAAAATTTAAAAATAAATTAATAAAGGAAATTTCATATAAATATATACGTATAGCTATTGTTTTGACTTCAATAAAAAAAATTTAAGCAAAATTAAAAAAGTACCCGAGATAAAAAAAATGCGATATATTCATGTTTTTTTTTTCAATATAAAACAAATTAATGAATAGTTTAAATTAAAGTATATAGTTATCATAAATATATTACCTAGAATTGAAATATATTTTTATAAAAAATTTAAAACTATAATATATTTTACATTATTTTTATTACTATTTCAAATATAAAATATAAAAGAAAAACCTTTCTTATGTTCTTTACAATATTTAATCATAGAACCCATAATGTGTTTTAATAATGTATGTGCATATAATAAATTTGATTAACAGACTAACCAAATAAAATATGTATAAAAAAAAGGTTGAATAATATGACACTGAATATTAACATACACTTATTGAAAATACAAAGAATTTAACATAAAGATGAATTCGAATGAAAATCCTATATATTCTTATAATCTAAATGTATTAATTCTAAATTAAAAGACTAATCTAAATCCTATGTTTTAGTTTATCCGCTTTGCATAAATGATTTTGTTGAATTAAAACTTGACGACCAATTTTCTTAAAATCTATTTGGTATGAGTGCATCTCTGGATATATGTGTTTCACAGAAAACATCTCCGCAACGACATTGAAACCCTAATAACTCAATCTTCTTGTTGCAACTCTTGCATCTCTTTCTCTCATTCTTCTCACTTGTCTTGGAATTTGTGATAGAAAGAGAAATCGTATAGAACCTTCACTTTGAGCAGTACATGATGACGATGATAAATTCTCTAAACAAAAACTCTTATTTGTCGTTTCACAACCCTTTAATTTGACGAGATAATCTTTATAACACTTTGAACAAAAGTTATTTATTGCAGGAGAACCGTAAAAACCACAATCATTAGCACAAAGTCATTATCTAACTATATTATTTACTTCAAAGAAAACTATAAAATCAAAGGAATGAAAAAAGGATGCATCAAGGAAGAGACTTAAATAGTATTTATAACTTAAGAATTGTAACAAATGTTCAAATATATCTTATTTCATCAAAATATCTTAATCAAATCTAATATTTATTAAATCACATATTTTTTCAACTAAAATTATATATATATATATATATATATATATAATAATTATTGATTTTTATTTTTCAACATATTTAGCTTTATTTTTTTTAAATATGGTAGATAATTTCTTTTTCTTTTAAATAAATTAAATAATTTAGTTATTATAACTAATTTTATTGTTTTAGATTGCATTAGAGATTATATATTGGTATCAAAATCAATAAATCATTTAAAAAATTATTTTAACACATTAAGGCAATAATTAAATTAAAATATTATTAAATTATGAAAAATATATTCGTAAAAAATACATTAAAAATTTTAAAAATAAAATAATTTACATTAATAATGATAAAATTGGTAGAAAATGTATATTAAACAAACAGACCTCCGTTGTTACATAAAACAAACCTTTTTATATAGTTGTACTATAGAAAACACATGCGATAAATTAAATAATGAAAATAATAAATTTAATATTATTATTATTATTATAATTATGAAGTTAAATATAGGTAATTTTTATAAATTTATTATAAATAATTTTTATTTATTTTATAGACAGTTTCATAATAAATAAAAAAGGTTAAATTCAAAAAAGTAGTAAAATTTATAAAATAATTATTTTAATTTTAAAAATATTTATCTAAGAAATAAATTTAAAAATAAATATGAAAAAAAGGGAAATCGAAGTTATAAATAAAATAATTACGAAAACATATGCGTCTATGTGTGTTGACATTCTACTTTTATGTTAATAAAAAATAATATAATTATTGTTATTATTATTATTATTATTATTATTATTATTATTATTATAATAATAAAGTTAAATATAACTAGAAACTTAAATAAATTGTCACGAAGTAAAATTAGTTATATAATTATTTTAATTTAAATTTCTTTATTTAAATGGTAAAATTTAAAAATAAATTAATAAAGGAAATTTGATATAAATATATATGTATAGCTATTGTTTTTACTTCAATAAAAAAAATTTAAGCAAAATTAAAAAAGTACCCAAGATAAAAAAAAAATCTGATATATTCATGTTTTTTTATCGATATAAAACAAATTAATGAATAGTTTAAATTAAAGTATATAGTTATCATAAATATATTACATAGAATTAAAATATATTTTTATAAAAAATTAAATTATAAAATAATCTATATTAGAATCTTAAAAATATAATATATTTTAGGGTTAAATATGTTTTTAGTCCCTAAACTATTGACCGTTTTTGGTTTTCGTCCCTCTTCCAAAGTAAGGTACAATTTGGTCCTCAATCTTTAAAAAACGTTCGTTTTAGTCGAAAAAACGAACGTTTTGTGGACTAAAACGAGGACTAAAGACAAAATTTTGAGGACTAAAACGAACGTTTTTCTAAAGAATGAGGACCAAATTGTACCTTACTTTGGAAGAGGGACGAAAACCAGAAACGGCCAATAGTTTAGGGACTAAAAACATATTTAACCCTATATTTTATATTATTTTTCTTACTATTTCTAATATAAAATATCAAAGAAAAATCTTTCTCATGTTGTTTACAATATTTGATCATGGAACCCATAATGTGTTTTAACAATGTATGTGCATAGAAGAAATTTAATTAACAAATAAAATATGTATAAAAAAAATAGGTTGAATAACATGACATGTAATATTAACATACATTGATATTGATAGTACAAACAATTTAACATAATGATGAATTCGAATGAAGATGAAGGCATAAGGGACTTCATGGCTCGTTATAATTGGACCGAACAACAGGTGAAGGGAGTGGGCAACAAGTTCATCATGAGTACCTGGGCCACAGATTTGAGGCCTTGTTCTTTTGCAAACAATCTGTTCGCACGAGCACCCTTGACGTTGGGGGAATTGCAGGAGAAGGCCGCTGAATTTATCCAGATTGAGGATATGCGAGCTGTTCAGAAAAGGCAGCATGAGGAAAATACTTCATCCTTAGGAGAAGAACAGAAAGAAGGCAAAAAGATGTTTGTCCTAGACGAACGAAAAAAAGGAGAAAAAGTAAAAGGATGGTCCGAAGGGGTGCATATTTGATCTGTACACCCCCTTGAATGTGCTAAGGGTGAGAGTGCTAGAGGAAGCCTTGAGCGCAGATCTCCTTCCCCCATTGAAGAAACAACCAATGCCTAAGAATGTGGATGGTACTAAACATTGTCTCTACCATCAAAATATGGGGCACACTACTGAAGAGTGCACAACACTCAGGGACAAGATCGAAGAGTTGTTAAGGGTAGGGCACTTAAGGAGGTATGTGAGAGCCAAGTGGGGGAGAGAAGCCCGTCGTGAAGAGGGAGATCTGGACAGTATGATCGTAGAGATGACCGACGTTCCGATTGCCGTAGTAGAAGTCGAAGTCAAGATCGGCAGCTGTGCAGTCACATTAACACCATTTCTGGAGGCTTTGCTGGAGGAGGATCATCAGCCTCAGCGAGAAAAAGCCATTTGAGAGAGCTGAAGAGTGTGCATAGGGTGGACGTGAAGAAACACAAAATGCCGCCAATCACATTCTCTGATGAGGATTTTCATGCTCCTGAAACCCGAGCAGGATGATCCTGTGGTGATAACCGCTGTTATCGCTCGATACAGCGTGGGAAAAGTCTTGATTGATCAAGGTAATTCAGTCAACATCCTTTACTAGAAGACATTTTAGCAAATGGATTAATCTGAAGACTTGATCATACCCTACAACGAGCAGATTGTGAGGTTTGTAGGAGAACGGGTAGACACAAGGGATACGTGGATTTGAGAACGTGTCTCGGAGCCGAACGAGATGTTAAGGAGCTTAAAACCAGGTTTTTGTTGGTAGAGGCTAATACCTCGTACAACGTACTTATAGGAAGGCATTACCTAAATGCTTTTAGGGCAATAGTTTCAACGCCTCATCTCACCCTTAAGTTTCCATCAGACAAAGGTACCATTTGCACCGTTCGGGCAGACCAAAAAGTTCCTCAAGAGTGCTATGTCATGGGATTAAAGGCCGAACCTTTAACTTCGCGAAGGAAAGCCAAGCGGTCAGAAGTGGCAATGGCGGATTTTGATCCAAGAGTCAATATAGATGACCGAATGGAGCCACTAGGGGAAACAAAGTCGTTCGGCCTCGGGCGCAAGGAAGACCAGGTCACTTTTATTGGAAGTGAATTGACGGAGGAACAGACCAAGCTAATCGGCAGAGAATTGAAGCGAAACAATGATCTGTTTGCTTGGACCGTAGCCGACATGTTGGGGATACATCCAAAGGTCATGTCTCATAAATTGGTCCTGTTCAAGGAGGTCCGTCCGGTGGCGTAGAAGAAAAGAAGGCTAGGGGAAGAGAAGAGGTTGACAGTGGATGCTGAGGTGAAGAAGCTCTTAGAAGCAAACTTCATTCGTGAAGTAAAGTACACTACTTTGCTATCAAATGTTGTGATGGTGAAGAAATCGAATGGGCAGTGGAGGATGTGTACAAACTTCACAGATTTGAACAAAGCTTGCCCTAAAGACTCTTATCCTCTTCCGAACATCGATGCTTTGGTAGATGGAGCTTCAAGGTTCCAAGTGCTGAGTTTTTTGGACACCTATTCGAGGTATAACCAAATCCCCATGAACCTCCCAGATAGTGAGAAAACAACCTTTATCACCGAGCGGTCAAATTACTGCAATGAAGTAATGTCGTTCGGCTTTAAGAATGCGGGGGCTACTTATCAACGTTTGATGGACAAGGTTTTTTGTCATCAAATTGGAATGTGCATGGAGGTTTATGTGGATGACATGGTCGTTCGGAGCAAGTCAATAGAAGATCATGTAAAAGATCTTGCTGAGGTGTTCAACCAGGTTCGCAAGTATGATATGCGATTGAATCCGGCTAACTGTACCTTCGGTGTACCGGCTGGAAAATTTTTGGGCTTTATGTTTACGGCCAGAGGGATTGAGACGAATCCTGATAAGTGCAAGGTGGTGTTGGAAATGAGAAGCCCACAGAATCTTATAGAGGTGCAACACCTAGTGGGACGACTAACTTCGTTATCTCGTTTTATCCTAAGACTGGCAGAACGCATCAAGTCGATCGTTAAGGTGATGAAGAAGAGTGTCGAGACAAGCTGGGACGACCGATGTAAGGATGCGTTTAGTGAGGTTAAGGGCATTCTAGCCAACCCACTAGTAATGGGTCGGCTTGATCCAAAGCACAATTTGCAGTTGTTCTTGGGGGTATCGGAGGAGACAATCAGTGCAACTTTGGTTCAAGAGAAACCAAAGTTCAAACTTGTCTATTTCATCAACAAAACGTTGCATGATGTGGAGACAAGGTATAAATAGGTGGAGAAGATCTCCTTAGCCCTTGTTATAGCCCCACGCTGTGTGAAATTGGACCTAGGGAACATTCTAAGTGAACCTCTAGAGTCTAACGCTCGGTGAGAAACGTTCTTGTAACTCTCACCTTAACACTTAACGAGCTAGAGAACGTTCTAAGTGAACTCTTATAGTCCAACGCTCGGTGAGGAACGTTCTCGTAACTCTCACCTTAACACTTAATGACCTAGCGAACGTTCTAAGTGAACTCCTAGAGTCTAACGCTCGGTGATGAACGTTTTTGTAAATCTCACCTTAACATTTTTCGACCTATGCAACGTTCTAAGGGAACTCCTAGAGTATGACGCTCGGTTTGCAACACTCTTAACTCGTTAGGAACAAAAAAAGATTGAAGGAGCAAGGAGCATAAAGAATGAGTAAAAATGCAAAGTGTTCATTCAAAAAGAAAAGTTCGGTATAAGAACTAAAGGGCAAATGATTATAGACGCTCAATGCAAAAAGAATGAAAATTACATA